CTGTTCATCTGAGATTGCCATCAAGACATGTTGGGTTGGAATCTGATCTTATGATCATTCTGTAAATCTCCTTTAAATTCTTTTATTCCAAGTTACTATATTTTACTTCCATTTTTTTCTGTCTTTGGTGGTAAATAAAGCAATATTTGTGGTATGATGTTTTTTATTATTAAATCATTGTCCAATTCTGTGCCATCATTTTGGATGATGAACAAAAATATTCTATTTTCTTCTACAGTTATAGCTGGCACTTCTTGGTAAAAGTTGAAGGATATGAAAAAAATATAGAATAGAATAAACAGTGAATACACAGTGTTTGTAGAGACTTGAAGGACAAAGTCCACTGATTTTATTTGAACGTAGTCAAACGTATATGCATAAGATTGTCCCTTAAGTTCTTAAACTTGAGTTGTTTGGGAAAATCTAATCAGCTGGCCTAACAATTGTGGCTGTGGACCTGTCCCCTTTCCGTTGTACCCCCTCCCAGATCCCATTCCCATCCTGGCAGCCCTCATGTTAGCGAGGTTGGTGTCAGCCACGGCTGGGTTGGGCCAGTGTCTTGGGGTGGAGAACAGGTCATGCAACCGGTCGGCAGGGTGCCACAGGAGAGGGGTCAAAGAGCCACAGGCGGCTCAGGAGCTGTTTGGGAAAATCTAATCAGCTGGCCTAACAATTGTCGCCCCAAAACCTTCCATCTTCCTACATTGTTGCCCAGAATGTAAAATAATGTGTTTTTCAAACTTGGGAATTTTAAGATGTATGACTTCCATTCCCAGAATTCCTCAGCCAGCCATGACTATATACTCAAGAGTTTATATTTTTAATAAATATTATAAAGGGAATTGATGATTGATGACTCACAAAAAGGCAAAAGATCTACATGAAGGAGCTGAGTACACTGGTTCCAAATTTTACGAAGCAATACTGTAACTTAAGCTGTCTGAACATAATTTCTGGGAGTGTGAGTCATTAGGTACATCAGAAATTCCCTGTTCAGTTGCAAAAGAGCAGCAACAACAGCAAAAAATCATCAATAGCTGCTTAATCAGGAGGAAGTCCAGTGTACCTTGTCAGGTAAAATTCCCCTTGACATCTTTGTATATTTGTTTATAGAAGGTGTGATTAAGCTCTAAGCTTAGATTGTGTAATAAGTATTAATGGCCTTTTGGCCTTTTGTCTGCTTCAGAGTGGCATTGAGTAATTTTGTTTCCACTCTAATGGTTTACTTTTGAAAAGCAGCAGCAGAACTTTACTTAATACTGTATAGTGGAACAGATACAGGATTTGGGACCTAAAATCAGTTGTCAGTCCTTAACTCAGGCCTAAATATTTTGTGTCCTAATTATTTGAGCTGCTGAAACTGAGCTATTGCTTGGCTGAAACCGAGCAGTAGCTCAGTTCAAACACAATCATTGCTAGCTGTTTTACCTGTTTTACCTTCACATACATGGTTAAATCTTGGTTTGCAGTCCTACTTTGTAGGTTAAATCCTAGCCATGATCTTTCAGTTCATATGCTGATGCAAATGATAGCTTGTGCAAAGGTTGGAAAGGTATAGAATTTCTATAAATTAGAAAAAAACATGCAAGTCTAATTCCTTTAAAAGTTCATTTAGTCTCTTACAAGCACTGTGGTCAGTGATGTTTTGTGGAGTTTTGTTTTGGTGTTTTGATGCCTTCCACGTAGTCATGACTCCTGGTGACTGCCTAGACCCCTGTAGTTTTCTTGGCAAGATTTCCGGACTGATTTGCCATTTCCTACTTCCTAGGGCCGAGAAAGTGTGAGTGGCCAAGCTGAGACTGAATCAGGTTTTCCTCAAACCTAATTGTCAACCCTAAAGTAAACTGTGTTTAAACTTTAGTGTTGGCTGCAGAAAAATAAGTAATTCTGGCACTAGGGGTCTATTCATATTTTGTGTCCATTGCTTCAACATGCCCAACCATTTATTGCAGATAATATTGATATGACTTTGCATTGGCAAGTGGTTTCTGCCCTATACAGTACCAAATATTTATATGCTGTATCACCACACTGGGTTCAAGCCTTTTCCAGTTTCCACAAGTGTTAGATATCATAATATTAAGAAAATAGGTTTTGGCTTATAAATATATGTTCCAACATAAGCAGTAATGGTGTCTGTCTATCAGGCCATCTCAGATGCACTGTTGCTTTGAGGCCATGTTTGGTTGTATGGCTTAGACAGAAGAAACTGTAGATTCTAACTGTATCTTTGATCCACTGGAGTATACTGTATAATCTATGGTGTTGGAATGAGGAAAGAAGCCCATTGCTATCTATAGATGAAGTGCAGACAGCTTGTGTACTTCCCAAAATACTTGGATAACTGTGAACGAGTTTTGAATAGGGACTCACATTTGGGATAGGGAAGCAGTTGTTAGTCATATCACATTGGATAACAAGCTGAGTTGATAAGGCAAGGAGTGTCCCTTTACTATGTGACCATGATTTTATTTAAAAACAATGCTGAAATATTATTGTATAATTGTATTTATCTGTCATTCCAAATAAATAAATAAATAAATAAAGCAAGTCAGAGTTCTTAATTAGTGACTGCTTGGGCAATGGGCAAAAGTGATGCTATCCATGAGTAGTTCCATGTTTATTGGTTTGTAAATTGTCATGTATATTTCTCAGTAGGAAGTTCAATAAGTCCTGGCATTGAATCTGCATGCCTGTTATGCAAATTCTGTGAAAGTATAAAGTATATTAAGTATATTCAAATTCTGTGAAAGTATATACCATGATTAAAAGGAGGTTTTATGACACACTGAAGCAGGTGGGCACTTGAGTTCTATAGCATTCTCTTTCTGCAGTACTTGGGAGCCTTTCTTGAGAAGTACGAAGAGCTGCTTATTTTACAATGGCCATTGCAACTATTATTGCTGAACGGAGGTCATTGCCTGGGCCATTATTGAATGGGACCCAATACAGCAGAGAGAAACAAGTCGGTGGGATCTGGGCATATCAAGCAGGTGTAAGAAACTTACATACTTGGGAATTTGAGAGTACTAATCAAAGTATTTGCCAACCACAAAATTACTGTTGTTCATAGTAGAAAAATATTCTCCACTTTGGAATGGGGAAAAAAGAAATGTTTAGTATTTAATATTCATTTGTTATTATAAACATGCTCCTTGTCAAGGATGTCCACAGGTTTGCCCATCACTGCTATCCTAAAAAATCCTATTCTCTATTTTCTGTTTCTACTGTGCCAATTATTCCTGTGTGTATGTGGCAGATAAAAAAATAAACTTCTATTTCAGTTCTTATGAAGAGCTGAAACTAAGACTATCTTCCATAAAAGGCTCTCACTGCCCAGAGCTTTTTATAAAAAGAGTTCACAGCAACAATAGGGACAAAAGCAGTGAGATGTTTTTATAAAACATCTTATCTAAATGTCAGGCAGAGGAGAAATAAATGTATATGTGATTTTTAGGTGGTCCTAATCCAAATTCTCTTGAAAGAAAAACTATCACCTGCATAGTTTGTGAAAGTGGAGGCTTGTGCTCATGCTTTTAAGGCTGTGTCTTAACAAAGAGATATAGATGTTCCTGCTTTAGGAACCACAACTATGACTGGCAATTTGATTGTTAAATGAAGTAGTCATTAAATGAAATTGTGACTGTACTTATGGTCTTACTTCAGTTTTCCTTTGCTGTACCGAGCGGTCATAAATGCAAGGATTGGTTGCAAAATTACTTTTTCATCATTATTGTAACTGGAGGCAGTTGCTAAAGGAAGCAGTTGCTAAAGGAGGACTGCCTGTAGTTTAATATCTATAGAGATTCTCAGCTCTGAGACTTGAAGAAGCTTCTTGGATGAGAAGTGAAATGTCTTCAAAGAAAAACAAGAAAATCCAGTTGCCTCTTTAAAAAGCACATTGGAACTGCCTATAGTTTTCCTCTTATGATACACACACCCAACACTTCTTTGGAGAGTTTTAAAGCAATTATTATAGAAGATGTATACATAACAGGACCAAAAGTAATCTTAAAACACCTGGAGGTTAATGAATCCTAAATAAAACTGAAACAATGTCAAAATTAACAAAAAAAACTGATGGCAGTTGTCAAACAGTTACTGCTACGGTTTGGTTTAACTTATTTTTTTCCAGCTGCTGACTAGAATCAAAACCAATCTAAGTATAATACCCAGTTCAGTTTCATTTCTTATTTCTTCCGTTCACTGGTTTCAGTTTGTGTTTCTGATTTTGACAAGACACTTGTTTGATGCTTATAATTTGTGTAAACTTCTTTTTTTTTCCAAGCTTTTAAAAATTCTTCCAGCAAGAGACTTCCCAATTTGGTCTGACTCAAAGAAAAGTTTCCACTGATTTTATTAATAGTTTACTTTTGAGTCATTGTGCAATCTACAGTGAGTGCTTTTGCTATCCAGCTTCCTGTTGAAAATGTGTGAAAAAGTAGTGATCCTAAAGCAGGAGTATTCTTTTTTTAGACAGGACATGAGTGAGGGGCAGGAGCTGCATGTGAGAAAGGAGGTAGGGATATGGGAAAAAGAGAACCTTGAGATAATTAAATTTTACAGCTCGCAATAGCACTTAAACTTACACACCGCTTCATAGTGCTTTACAACCCTCTCTTAAGTGGTTTACAGAGTCAGCATATTNTTCTGATTTACTTTGAGTCAAACATCAATTGGAAATAGTTTGATTTTTTTTACCTGTCTCACTTTAACGATATTAATGGTTTACTTTGAAGTCACATTTAGTTTTTCATTAATGGGGACATGAAGTTCTGGATTTTACAGTTCTACTTGCCATTTGATGTTGTACATACCCCAGGGTATGTCAGCTTTTGGTGGTTTGGAGAGCAAAGCAAATAGAAACAATCAGAAGCCTAGCACAAATGTGTGGACAAGCTTCTTCTCAAGCTTTTAATTAAATGGTTTGCAGCAACAGTCTTTATACTGCATTACGAGAGAAAAGAGAAGCCATAATGGGTTTTTCTTGTGTTTTGAAGACCAAGCATGGAAACAGTGACAAGATTCCATGCCCTATGGATGGAGCAAGACTGGCATCCATAAACTTCGTGATGATTGACAAACTCAACTAAAATGTGTGAGACTCTTTGCATGCTTTAACAATTGATTAACAAATGTTTATTTTAATGTGATATTTCTTTGTCCATCTGTATAAAATAAGCAATCTTTCTGGAAATGGCTCTTGAAGTCTTTGCAGTGTAAGTAAATTAATCTCTGTGGAGTGGCTAAAATGAAAATTCTATACCTACTAAATGTGGGTGCAGTTATTAAAGGTGCTATTGGTTTGAAAAACTGGGAACTTTGAGGTTATATAAAGTTTGGCATATTGAAAACAATGGCTATTGTTTAAACAAAAAACAAATGCATTCCTATGTGTGGGTGAATCTTCTGAATCAAAGAAGGAAATGGAGTAGAATAAAAGCATATTCACTATTGAGCATGTGAAGAGATTTAATCAACTTGATCCTACTTATAGAGCATCAGGTTTTGTGAAACAGAGTGGAAATTGCTTGTAAATATAGAAACAAACTTGAATTCACAGAATTTTGAATGCCAATGATATTGAATTATAAGCCATTTGGAATATTTTTTATTAATGAGGCATATTTTATATTGGTTCCTACAATTTTAGAAAATATGTACCGGTACTTTCAAAACTGCTCAGTAGTACAGGTACAAGAAGTGCTTTAAGACCATGATCCGGGCAGCAACTGACATAAACGAATGAGTCATTCTCTCCCATTAATGCAAGAACAAAACATCCTGTCAACATATTGTTAATATTCTTTATAGCAAACTATTCACAGCACTGAGAGCCAGTTTGATGGAACAGTTAAGGCATCAGCTAGAAACCAAAAGACTGTGACTTCTAATCCCACCCCAGGTACAAAGCAATTAGGTGGCATTGAGCCAGTCATGCTCTCAGCCCTGAAGTAGCCAATGACAAATCACTTCTGAAAAAACCTTGCCAAAAAAACTGTTGAACTTATTAGGGCAATCTCCAGTAATCAGACACAAAAAAATATTTTCTCATCAACAACTTTCTAAGCAGTGCAGTTCTACCCTGTTTCCCTGAAAATAAGACCTCCCTGGATAATAAGCCCAATTGGGCTT